GTCATTCTTGCCGCAAATGTGTAGTAGTGTGTGTTTGTGTGTGTCCCTGCTCCATTCTTCACTAATATCTCATCCATGACAGCAGGCAGGCGTTGGCCAGGCATGGTTTGGGACACGGAGTACTCTTGGGCTAAACTGGAGTGTAAGAGTTTTTCCCATTTCTTCACTTAGGCATGTCACCCCTGTGCCCCCCATCCTCCAGCCTCCTCTTTCCTTCAAGTACGCTCCAGTTTGGTTGACCCTGCATGTACTCTCAGCTGTGAAACTATGAATTCAGTAGACATCTGCAGCCATTGTGTATCCAACTTTGGAATTTCCTTTTGAGTTTACAAATAAGCTGTCTGTAATTATTGTCATACCAGTGTTTATTTGTATATATTATGTGTTATTTGTTTTATTTATTTTAGAGAGTTGATATTTTGGTAAGCACCATCTAGTAGTTTACTCAGTATTTGAGTACTCTTGCAGATCTCATAATTCACTTTAAAGAGGAATTCCACCGCAGATTTATCAAAATCAGAGTATAATCCAAACGTTGAGATGTAAACGAAGTCATTCAGAGTGTTTTGATGTGTAATGGTGCAATGTAGAGAAACTTACTGACTCTGATTTTTTTGGTAATTGATGATAGGAACCAGTGCTTGTAATGCATACGTGTATATAGCTATTTTATATACTATCAGAAACAACTACGCTCTCAGAAATAAAGGTATGAAGCTGTCCCTGGGGCAGTACCCCTCTGGTTACTGGGGTGATGCCCTCAAAAGTGCATCTCAGTACCTTTAGTCAGGGAACATAACTGTACCATAATCCATTGAAATTATATTTTTCAAGTTGTATTGACTCCACACACCCCGTCTCGTCTCCAGACTTCTTATTTTACTGTTCTGTTTTAAAAACTCGGTTTACGAAACGATACAAATATGTACTTTTCACCTGGGAAAAAACTTATTTAAGGTACACAATGGGACCTTAAAACCACTGTTGTACCTTTGAGGGTACATTTACATTGTTTGTACCTTGATGAACAAAAAATGTACCTGCACAGAACCTTTATTTCTAACAGTGTAGTGAACCTATGTTTCTTTTGAGTTTTTATATGTAAATGTTGGTAACGATAGAATAGTGGTCAATATGGAAAAATCTCTTACACAAAAGTATTTTTCTTTGAGTTCTCTTTGGGTACTTTTTTGCCCTGCTTGTAATACTTTTTCTTAAAACTTTAGGAAAACTATGTCTCAGGCATTGGATAATGTGTTCACAATCAGTTCATGTAGTGTCTTTTTGTGAGGTAGGTTTTAGAGACATTAAAAGCATCAGACCTCAGGTTCCTGTCAATACCGTACCGTAACATTGTAAACAAATGTGGCTCTGAATGACTTTATCTTTTTCTTAATGATTTAAAAATGTTTACAAAAACTGAAATTACTGAATCTCACAGCTGAATCTCATGAGGAAGCCTGGTCACGACTGTTTACCTTTACTCAGGTTTGAAAAATTGATAGGTAAATTTGTCCAATCACAGTGACAGGTTGCCATCACTGGCACCATGTGTTATTTTTTCTTTTTATTATTATTTATTTTTATTTTTAAACCAGTGAGTAGGCCTGCACAGTGCCATTTTTAATTGTTATCATGATATATACCTTTGTAATACTGATATTACGGAAGGCATCTTTTCCATTGCTACAGTGATAATTAGCTCTGTTGTGAAGAAACCAAACCCTCCACAAACAAGGGAGCAGCTGTATATCTGCAGAATTGAGGTTTTATTTCTTGCGTGCAGGTACCAGACATTTAGCCAGCCCATTAAACAGTGGACAGTCACAATTTTATAGGTTGTACTGATGATAAGACTATGCCCATGTTATACATGACAAGTGATAGATGTGACAGACATGACCATGTAGGGATAGACAAAAATAGGTAGGACTGAATGTTCTAGGTACAATCACATCACACACATGGTACAACACACATAGTACTGACTATAATGGCATATAACACAGCACTGAACACATTACACAGCAGTACATTCCTTCGGTTAGGGTGTATTGCATTATTTATTTGAAAAAGCTTAAAATATGTGAACACCCCCCCTCCTTTGTGTGGTCTACGCATAGATCCTAGTTCCTTTGATTTGGACTGAAGTGTTCAGAGAATTGCATTTCTAATATTGATCATAGTAAAGAATACACAGTTACAGAGTGATGAGTGACGGCCATGAAGATGAGCCACAATGCCGCAATGAACCCTTACCTAATCAATGAATCAGTGAACCCCAGCAGGCCAAGATTTTCTCAGGACATACTATTGTACTTGTTGCTTTATTTTCTGGTTTGATTGAAGCTATAATGTGTAAGTGTGTTAAGTTTGACAGTGTTATAGATAGGTATGTTATTTCCATTTCTGTGCAGCTCACAGATTAGTGTCTGTCTCCTCACACTGTCCACACAATTCATTTAGAATATCCTGTCGTTTTTCCAAGTAATACAGTGCACAGCGTTGAACTGGGATAGACTGAGAAGACTACACAGGAAACGTGCTTTTCTTTCTGTGTTTCTTAACAATCGACAGCTCTATTCTGTTTTTAGCTCTTTTGTCTATGTATGTTTTTGTTTTTTTTGTTTTTTTTTGTCGTGTCCTACTTTTATTCACAGGAGAAACTACTAACACATCACAGTGACACGCAAGCTTTTTCAGCCCACATCCCTCAGCACCCTTTCTCCCTCACTTCTTCCTCTGCTTCTTCTTCCTGCCCTCATTTTTCCTACACCTCCCCAATCTAAAATACACACACTCACGCACAATCCCCTGTTCCTATGACCCTGTAACGGTGTGTGCGTCTTACGTGTTGCTCTATTGTCTTCTCTCCTTTTATAGATTAGAAATGTTACAGGTGTCAGTTCAGTAATGAAGGTAAGAGTTCACTTAACTGGAAGCTTGTGTACTGCCACAGAAACCCCCCTCCCTCTCTATTTTGGCTGGTCTACTCATCTTTCCCTCTTTATTTCACTAATGAGCTGCATTTGCCCAGAGGTTTTTAAATGAATACAGAGAGAGAATTGTTTTGGGGCTGGCTATTATTAGATTGGTCAGATTATTGAGAGAAACGCACGGCTGGACCAATTGTAACACAGTAGCAGCATGTATGGTATGGGTACACTCATTGCGTTCCTCTCTCTCCTCCTCTCTGGCATGTCTCTGCTTTATCCTCTCTTTTTTTTTTTCCCCCCCTCCTCTGTTTTTTGTCCTTTTGCGCGTGTGCCTGTTTGCCTGGGGCCACATCTGACACTAACACCTGCCCTACTGGAAAATGTCTTTGTCACTTACGCTTTGTTTGGATTGCTGCTGGGAGCCAATAGGGATGAAGCCCATTTTACTCAAGTTTTATCCTCCTCTCTCTGAGTATCTCTGTCTGTCTGTCTGTCTGTCTGTCTGTCTGTCTTTACACTTGTTTTCACTCACTCTGAGTCTCTCTCACTGTGTGTCTCTCTCTCTCTCTCTCTCTCTCTCTCTCTCTCTCTCTCTCTCTCTCTCTCTCTCTGCAAAAGTACAGTGCACTGCATATCTCAAAAGAATGTATTTTTTTGTTTGTTTTTACTGCTCTGGTTTGTATTTAAATGTAATGGAATAGGTTTGTTAAAAATATTAAACCTGTACTTAAACATGAGACAAGTATAAATTGAGTGACCACTGTCCTCAGGACTTCAGGAACCCCTTTCTATTCTCTTACATTTTGTCCTGCTGAGATAATAATCACTGTGATGGAATAAAGGAAGAAAACCCAATAGTGACGTAAACAATAGCAAGGGACAGGAATATTGAGCACAGTGCATAAACTAGTCCCACACCTGCCTCAGTAGAGCCTTGTAGATGAATCTCCATCCTCACTGCTGGCATCCTATGAGCTTGGCAACTTTAACAGAGATTGTGTATGGATGATGCCTGGAAGGAGCACCTCCCCACACTCGTTCACTCCTCCCTTCATCCTTTCAAGAAGCAGAGGGACTGTTGTTCTGGCTCTCCTCCCCCTCTCTCAGAGAAGCCCTAGAGTGGAGGGCAGGGAGTCTGTGGACTCTCTACTGAGTGCATGCTCCCCACACCATCTGCTCTCCGTAACTCGAGATGCCCATGAAAGAAAAAAAAGAGAAAATGGCAGAAAAGAAAGACAGAAAGGAAATAGCCAGGCAGATGCCATCTTTACAAAGCAAAAAGCCTTTTCAAATTCGAGTCTTCAAGAAGATGCGCAGTGAGATCAACTGTTTTGCGCTATACTTGTCTTATTTTGATTCTTCAGTTTTGGGTTCAACTTAACGGTCCCCAAATATATGGACAGATTTTTGGTGCCGGACATAAAGTAGAGAAACTAATGGAAATATTATGAATTCAGAGATTGTAATAACTTAATGTGACTTCTCAAACCAAGCAGCACCATTTCCTCAGAATTTAGGGTCATTCCACCTAATCTCCTAGGGCCTTGCAGGTCACATCTTGGATTTCCATGAAAGCAAAAATGTCAGTTTAGTTCATGAAACCATGTAAAATTTTAGATTTTTAGTTCTGAATTGATCAAAAGCATGCAGGCTCTAAATCGCATCTGAACTGAATTTAACTGCTTGTTTGAATATGCTTGAAATATTTACTGGATATAAATACAAAATTATAAATTATTTGGAATAGACTTTTTAAATAGACTTAAATGGAAGTCTTTAAATATTTCATGGAAATCCATGACATTACCTGTTTTTTGTTTTTTTTGTTTTTTTTTCTTTTTCAAACAGATTTTAGGCCTGAGGTCAGACCTCAGCCTAAATCATATAAGTAAGACTTACAAAGTCTTTGATTTGTTTTGGTTGGTCTGTGACTTTTAGAGACTCTTCCAAAGCAGTATTGGCATGCAGTCACCCAACAGTGGCTTTACCACACTAGCATGTGTCAGCTGACCCTCAGTCATAGCACCGAGACTGATGTTTTTCCTGTCGCTTGCCGTTTCTCAGGCTCTCTCAGTGGCAGCACAAGCGCTGAACTCAGCGTTACTGTGACAACCAGCGAGTCCACTGAGCAGGTTTCTCCCACCCTACCCCGCGCCTCCAAGAACCGCGTTTCCGGAAAACTCCGCCGCTCGGCCAGCGCCATCAGCAAATCCTCCAACTGAGCTCCACCTTATGCCAGTAACCACTTCACTAAGCCCCTTCAGACTGCAGTGTACTTCAGCTGTACCGCATGTGTGGAAGTGAATGTATGTATGTATGTATAAATGTATGCCTGTCTGTGTTTTTTCTTTTCTTTTTTTTTTTTCCTTCTTCTTATTTGTGTCACTTGAAACTGGAATTTCGTTCTTCTAGTTTGTACATACATCATTTTTCATTGATATCTGCTGCCGTTTTTGATTGACCTTTTGCTAGCAGTGGGAGATGATTCTAAGGTCACACTATTGTGGTGCTTCGCCAAGGCTGAGAGTTTTTTCAATTGCACTTTCAGTTAGAGAACTCTTTGGTTTGCCAGTAGCATCATTGTTTTGGCTGGAGCAAAACTGTAAGGCAAACTAAATGAGAAACTTAAACTGACGTCTATGAATGTTTATTCTGAAATCAAGAATATGAAATATGAAAATCACAGCGATTAGTGACAGCATTGGCCGGAAGCACTTTGAACTGCTGGACTTAATGTAGAAACACATCTCTGGAGGCGTGGAGGTTTAACTTTAGTGCCAGTCATCCTCCCTTCATCATTTGTTTACTGTTTGTTCTCTAACCCGATGCAGCTGTTCAGCTATTACTGATATAAGCAACCTTTTCACAATACTTCCATGATATGTTCCTTGACATAACAGGATGTGAATACCCTTTAAACTGAAGCTCCGAATGTCTTAAACACTGAAACTTTGACAAATGTCACAGCCATTAAGGGCAGGGTACTGAATTCTCTGCACTGACCTCCATTCAGTCCTTCCCTATAGAAGGAAGAGGTGGTGGGGGAGGGCTTCTGTCATAGGTCATTTTGCTGATGTTCTCCTTGAGAGGTCATTCATAGCAGCTGCATTTGAGATTCATAAGAATTTCAGACGTTATAGAGGAAATTGACTCGCATGCACCAGCCGTGAGCAGAGTTCAGTCATCATAGTAGCAAGCTCAACATGGTTCACATGTTCATAAGCCCAGAAAGTCCTCGAGATGTGATTGTTGAAGTCCTAGACTAAAGTTGGGCCTACTTCTTTTGTAAAAATAGCCCACTTTAATACTAAATGCATGTCTGAGTGGACAATCTGTTTGGTCTTTCTTACTAAGATGGGATGAATTGAAATGGCCTGTTTTTTTTTTTTGTTGTTTTTGTTTTTGTGCTATCTTTTCCTTTTAAATGACTGGAGTAATTATTTTATTCGTGATTTATGCAACTATGCTGGGTTGAAACGGCTCCATCTGTAATTATGTTGTGTTGTGTTATGTCAATGTGTTGGATAAATCTTCATTTATAATCTGTAAATTGAATAAGTCCTGTTTTTGTCTCGTAATGCTACTATGACATTCCAATGTTTCCTACAGTGGTGTGGCTGCACTCACTGATGGTGATAGTTTAGAGCTGTTCATTGCTTTTCTTCTTTAATGCTTTGATGTATATTGCTTTCCATTTTATTTGAAAGGTTTGTTTTTGTTTGGTTTCTTACTGTAAATACATAATAATATCTGCCATTATAATATGATGTATGCCTGACTACATGCTAAATGAAATTGCCACCGGAGCCTCAGGTGAATCTTAACTCCATGCACTTGTGTGTGTGTGTGTGTGGTGTGTGTGTGGTGTGTGTGTGTGTGTGTGTTTGAGGGTGCTTCTAATAGCTAACACAGTGCCTGTGCAATACCTGTCCATATTTCCCCTCTCTGCTGACTGGCTGTAGTCAGATACTCTTTGTCCCTGTTCTTATATCTTCCATGGCTGCTGTGCTGGAGAAGAGTGCGCTCTCGCTCGTCCGTTTGACTGCAGAGCAGAGGGCTTTAGGGAAGCTCCCATACATTGCAGTGCTGCATGAGAGCGCTTGTCTCTGATTGGATCTCTGGATAGCAGTGCTCCTCCACCTGCTCCTCTTCATTCTCCTGCCATGCTGAGTACCCTCCACCATACCAGCAGGGAAATGGGGCACATGCCAGCGCTTCTCTCTCACAAACGCACTTTTTTCTCTTTTATTTCATTCTTTTTATTACTCTTTTTATTATCTTTTGTATTTGTTTCGTGTTTTTCCTTTTTCTTTTCATTTTTCCATTTTTGCTGTCTTTCTGTTATTTTATCTTTAATTTTCTTCTATTTTTCTTTTTCTTTCTTTGTTTATTCTTTTTCATTTTTGTCTTCTCTTGCTTTGTCTTTTTTTCACTGTTTATTCTAGTCTTTTGCTGTTTTTCTCTTCTCACTGATATTTGTTTTCCTTATTTTTGCTTTTTTTTCTCATGCTCTCTCAGTGTACACTTCTCTATTTCCTCAAACCTTTTACTTTTTCTCTTTTTTTCTTTTTCTGTATTTCCTTCTCTCTCCCTGCACCTCTCTGCTTTTTGTCTTTCTTTCTTTCTTTCTTTCTTTCTTTCTTTCTTTCTTGCTCTGTCCACTTTTCCTGGTGCAGCCAACGCCCTCACTTCCCTGCTCCGTTCCCTTAGTGACCCAGCCTAGTTGCCATGGAGGCCAGGTGTTACATACTCTGCAAGCTCCGCCCAAGCTGCAACAGGACACATGTTGCACTACTTTGCCTTACTTGTACACCTTTCTTCCTTTGTTTGTTTAACTTTCTTCTTCTACTGTTGTTTTGTCTTTTTTTTGTTTTTTTTTCCCTCCAAGCACTGATAAGGAACATAGAAGTCTTTAAGTCTGCTTTGAATGAAGAATTGCGAGGAATGTATGCAAACATCAGCCCAAATCCTAGCCACGACTGCACCTGCCCATTTGTAGCTTTCCTGAACTGTGAGGACTGCGTCATGTGAGCAGCCTCTATAGTGAAAACTCTCTCTCATGTCCAGTAGGTTTGGTCTGGGTTCTCTGTAGGTTTCATAAGTGTTTGGTTTTAAGGTGCTGATGTGGTCCTTGCCAGGGATGTGTCTTACTGCGACTGGTCTAACTCAAGTGAAGTGACAGCTGTGTTTATTCTGCATTTAGTTGTTATCCTTGTATATTGTGTCCTTTTTTGCGAGGGCTCCAAATCCTGAAGGATATAAATATATTAATGCCTGTAATATAATATTTGTAAAAGATGTTGGAAAAAAAAGGTTGAACATTTCATCATGACTTGTTAACATATCAGACTGTTTTTAATGGAAAAGTAATCATTCTATCTTTACTAGAAATGTGAAAATCAGAACATTTCATTAAATCAATTTGAGATTCACTTTGGAGTGTTTATTTGATGCTTTTCAGGTGTAGAGTGTTTTCCTTAATACAGGGTTTGCATTTCATATATAATTATATATTAACATATCACAAAATATGTATCATTGCTTTGTAGTACTAATATGCTTCATCTATTCTATTTGATTAAATATGTATGCTAGTAATTTTAAAATGCATTACGTATTGTTGAGTACATTGTTTTTTGCAGTTACTGATTTGGAATTAATAATTTATTAAAGGTGGCAATTTGAACATTGAACATTTTATCAAAGCTTTAATAGATTTCTCTGGTTTCAGGAAAGCAGTAGTCACTGGCTTTCTTCTTCCAGGAAAATATTTCTGTAGGCAGTGAATCCATTTGTAAACTAACACATTAATGAGCTTCAAACATATATCCCTAGAATCTTCTGGACTCTTTAACCTCTTTTTCTCTAACTCAGAGGAAGGTTGTGCTAAAGAGTCATTTCTGTATGTTGTCTCTGCTGTGTGGGTTTGAAATAGTCAGGCCAGTGTTGAGCTCCAGGATGGCATGCACTGGCAGGTTGGCGGGCCGTGGGTGGGGTGGGGGTCAATGGGGTTAGAGGTTGTCCTGCTCTTTGGCTGCAGCCTGGGGAGCAGTGAGGGTAACCTAACCCCCATCCCATCTGTCTCCCCTCTGCTGTCCAGCAGGCAAAGCAGCCTCCTTTTCTGTGTTTACAGGTGGACAACCTCCAACACCTAAAGCTGTTAAACTCCTCTAGAAATGGGTGTTTTGTGGGACAAGACGATTCTTACTTCCATAGAGTTAAAGTCTCATAAATTGTGTTCAAATAGCGCCAAATAAGTCAGTTAGGTCTTCCTAACTTACCAAAAAATTCTGACTCTAAATATGAGTTGGACACCAGAATTAATACTTAAGCTTTTGTCGAATGCATTTTTATTTGACATCATTTTATTCTGTTGTTTATCAGTATTTTAGCTCGTTTTTATAGGCATAGGAAAGCTATAGAAGACTAAATAAACAGGCTAGAAAGTACTGAAATGAAAGTAAGCAGTAACGGTGATGAAATTTCCTGTAATTACAGAAAAAAAACAGGTGAACTGATAGTATAAACACTAATCAGGGGCAACAATGGTCAAAATTGAAGTTCACTGTGCACTCATCAAAAATGAAATGTTCGTTTTAGTTTGAAATATTCACGATGAGGTTCTCTTTCATTTTGAAAATATTTTTTTTTTATTTTTCCAGTAGACAACACAACATGGACAGTTAAAGCGCTAGTAGCAAACATTTAAGAAAATAAGCTGTTCATAGAAAAGGATTGCATCTATAAGAGCTTCACGTTTACAAGAGCTGAGTAGATTGTAAAGACCACTGAAGACACAGGCCTACACAACTCATAAACCTGACGACAAGAAATCATTTTGGCTACGAGATGGGACACAGTAGGACGCACGAATTAACTCACAGTCATTCACATGAAACTGTTGGAAATAATAAATAAATACATAAATAAATAAAATATTACGATTAAAACATATTACAGGCATTTTACATAAAATGATAGCAAATCGTAAATATGTGCAGACATTCAAGATTTGGGGAAAAAAATCAGTACACCGAGTTTTTAAGGCAGTTGTACAGCGAGAGTTTGACGTGGTTCTCTAAAGGCATTTGTGGCTCTATATGCTAAAGGGAAAGTCTCCCGGAGGAGGAAGTCCCCACGTCCTGTAATTCACACACTATAGATTAAAGCTACGGATGAGGGAAACGTACAGCATGTGAATTCGAGGCTTTTTTCACGGAGGTACACCGAAGTCGGACGTTTTCTTAGGTCTAGAAGCTAGAATACGGATAGAAAAATACCATTCCACAACCAAACTAATACTTTTTTCTTTAGGCTACTCGGCGTTGTGGGAAAATCTGAGAATAGAGACCTTTTATGAGTCTTGGATTAAAGGCCGCTGCTTCATTCGCTCACTTTTCAGCACGCGGGGCGCACGGGCACGTGCAGCAGCACTACCTGCCTCTTCTCCGTGGGGTGGCACTTGTTGACGTGCCTGGTGAGGCCCGGCGAGCTGTAGAAAGTGGCCGGACAGTGTTTGCAAGGGAACACGTGGGCGGCGTGCAGTAGGCGCACGTGGCGCTCCAGGCTCGCGCCGCCGGCCGCGCTCTCGCCGCACACGGGACACGCGAGGAGGCGCTCGGCCGCGTTCGACGCGCTCGCGCTCGGGCTGGGCGCGTCCTCGCCGGAGGATCCTGCGCTGTCCGGGCTCTCGGCTCTGGCGGGTTTGTGCGCGTGCCGTTTGAAGCTTTTGACGCTGCGGCCGTCCTCGGAGCCGGACTCGGACTCGAACCCCTCGGGGCTCCGCGGCGAGGAGGAGGAGGAGGAAGAGGAGGAGTCTCTCTCGCGCGCCAGCTCCGCGCTGGCCTCCTTAGTGGCTCCGGTAAAGGCTCGCAGGGCGGCTGGGGGCTTGGAGGGGTCACCTTTGGTGCCGGCTTGCGCCTGCGCGCGCGGTTTGTGCCAGCGACGGTGCGAAGCGAGGTTAGCCGGGCAGCTGAAAACTTTGTCGCACTCGGGACACCGGTACTCCACCCGCACGATGCGCGAGCACTTGTGCTGCGCCAGAGCGAACGGGTCCGCGTACTCTTCCTTGCACAGCTGGCAGATGAACTCGCCCAGTGGTTTGCCGCTGCTTGAGGAGGATGAGGACGAGGATGCGCCGGCTGCGCGCGGCTTTGGTTCCACGGGCCCCTCTTTGATCCGCAGCCCCAGCACCGGGGACGTGGTCACCTCGTCCTCGAAGTGGAGCTTGCGCATGGCTTTGGGTTTCTTGGCGCTGCTTTTACTCTTCCGTTCGGCGCCGTCAGCCTGAGGCCGCTTGGTACCTCCGGTGCCGCTCGCGCTCCCTGTCCGGCTGCTCCGGCTCGTGCCGATCTTCAAGTCCACGGGCGCGAACAGGAGGTGGTCCAGGCCGGTGAGGGAGGCGGGGGTGCAGGGGAAGGACTCGGCGGAAATGGGCGAGCCCAGGTTAAAACTCCTCTCGAAGTAGCGCGTCCGCTCGTGCTCCTTGCTGACGGGCCGCGTGGGGCTGTACAGCGGCTGGCACGCGACTTCCGGGGTGCCGAACTGCACAGGAGGGTTCGCGGCGCGAGCGTGAAGCGGCGCGTCCGACAAGCACGGAGGCAGCGGCTGCGGCGGGGCTGCTAGTGTTGGCGGCGGTGGAGAGGAGGATGAAGACGGTGGAGATGGTGATGATGCTGATGATGATGTGGCGGCGATGTCCGGGCTCGAGGCGCCGCTGGCAGCCTGAGCATCTTCATCACAGCGGATCCGGTATGAAACGAGCGCCGCTCGCTTGTTTCTTTTCACCAGGAAGCCTTTGGGCATGGCGGCGGCGGGCGGACACGAGCGAAGGCACTTGGAGAGGAAACGCCACGGGCTGCGCGTGATCCAGGGCGGCGGACGCTACCTTTTGCTTCGAGGGGATATGGGTGTGCCTGTCTGCCTCCCACCTCCCTCCCCAGCAATGTTTTGGTTTGTGTGTGTGTGTATGTGCGTTGTTTCGTTTTTTCCGCTCTCAATACATAGCTGCACTCTTTTTAAGGAGGGATGATGCTATTGTTCTCGCCCCTCGCCGCTTCATCCTCGTCCAATCAGGCGCGGAGAGGATCTCTGTGGAATTGCCCGGGGGAGGGTTGAAAGAGGGTTTGGAGGATGTGGCGGGGGGGAGGAGAGGAAGGGGGGCAACAGAGGAAAAGCTGCCGATTTGCTGAGCAGATGTACCTGCGCTTTATTGCATTAATTCCCCCTCAAGCCCCTCCCTGAAGAGGAGCCGCGGCGGGACGCTTCTCGCGGCTGCTTTTCAGCGCAGGAGGAGCAACACGCGCTCAGAGAGCTGCATCTCGAACACAGGCCGGACACAGCACAGCACAACAGCAACAACAGTTACAAACCAAAATGTTCTTTATCCTACTACTATAAAAATGTATATATTAGACTTTATTCTAAATTATTTATGTTTACATAGCTTATATTTGAATCCAATACTGTGAAAAGTCTTCGGCATCCGTGAAAATTATTTTTATGTTCATATTTAAAAATAACACCAACATTAGAATAAAAACAGATAACATGAATATAAATAGTAGTTATTTTATGCAGGCAAGTGTGTCTATTTAACCATTTCCAGACCTCTCCTTGAGGAAGGCCAGTATTATCTGTAGGTCTACAAGTATACCTGGCCTGGCTTATCAATACTTCGTTAAATGAAATCAGGTGTGCTGATGGAATTTAACACATCATGCGATGGCTGAGGACGTCGAGGAGAAATCTAGAAGCAAAGGTCTGTTCTTCGCTCTAGCTCAAAAGATATCAACTACTTTTTTGAAAACAAAAGTCATTTTTACTGCATGGATGATTGTTTGAAGTTACTCTCATGTTAGATGGTGTTTTTACAAGCAAAATAACTATCTTCCCGAAAATGGTTTAAAACAGTTTGTTTAGGTAAGACTTTAATGTAATGTAGACTGTAATGTAATGTAGTCTGTAATGTAATGTAGACTTCAATGTAATGCAAAAAACAAACATTTGTTTACTAGTTTGCTTGTCTATTTATTTAAAAGCCCTGCCACATTGATTACTTCAGGTCAATTTGAACGACGTGACAGTGATTTATTTACTTGTTTGTTTGTTTGTTTGCTCGTTTGCTTATGAAACACTGGTGCTTTAATAACATTCTATCCATTTAGAGGTTTCCAGTATGTGAACACTGCAGCGCAGTGCATTTCACCCTCTGTTACACTCCTCTATCTGCAATATAGTTTACCGGCTCCGTAAATAAGCCGAGCTGTTGCGCGCGGGTCGCTGTTTAATGGGCACGTGTCTGTCTCGGTAGTTTAACTCGACTTAGCAATCAGCTGGCTCGCGCATACATAAGTAATAAGAAGCGCTCTCATCTCGGAACACAATAGCCGCGTCTGCCCAGCCGTCACAGGCCTTTTGCGTTTGAAAAGCAAATTGACCTCTCCACTGTGAAACGGGACACACGCGGCCACTACGGCCCAAAGACGGGCGCGTGCTGGGGGCAACGAGCGGCGACCTGAAGGTCAGCGCACTGCGCACAGCAGCACCATTAAAGGGCCCCAAGCTCAGGGATTAACCACAGAATATTTCAGCAAGACGATTTTACCACAAGGCCAGCATTTTATCATCACTGCGGCGAGTATAGAGTCCTTCATAAGAATGAGAACGAGCGCGTGGCCGCTTAATGTCTCTTCCAGCCTGTCTTTGAGTTCCCTCTTAGAATAATTCAAACTTCATTACCTTCCTTTTGTCACCTGTACAAAGTCGGCATTCGTTTCAACTTAAAGATGCGCGCGCCATTGATCTACTTACACTGATTTCAATGCGGTCGCAGTTATTTATTTATGTATTTATATCTTATGTATTTTATATTATGTAAAGTGGATGTTACGCTTTGAAACTTTAGTAATGTTTACGCCCTACATCAAACACTGTACATCAAACATCTCAAAAACGCACGACTGATTCGTTTTTCCATGAGACAGGCCTTTTAATATATAGCATACAGTTATAGTTTAGCTTAAACCCAAATAAAGACTGAGCATAATTGTTCATTAACTCATTAAGTTCTTCAAATGTCCACACAGATACTTTTTATTAAATAACTGTTTGGAAAACAATGCAAAATAGCGAATTTCCTGGAAATTTGTGAGAATTGAGCAACAGAAGCTGAGGTTTTAACCCCAGTTTTACCCGCAGACAGGGCTGTGAAATACCTGTGTGTGCAGTGAGAGTGTGCTCTTCAGCTCTTTGTGAGTTTGGTGGGCGTGTGGCTGCAGGGCGGAGCTGAGGCTGAGTCTTTGGGGAAACCTCGGACTGAATGAATCTGCAGGCATGAGCGAGTATTGTTCCCCTCATTAGCATAAAGCTGCTGTATGACGGCCACAGAGCTGATCACACACACACACACACAGACACACACACACAAACACACAGACCTGTGCCTTCATTAGGCCCGACCCTCGCAGCCTTACACACCCTGCACTGCCCATTGTTGAGGTTTTATCTCTAATTAAAAGGAGAAAGGCTGCACTCCATGCTTCTACTCACAGGCCTGAGAAAGAAGCTCAGCTTCACTCCGAACACTGAGAAGTGCTGCACTGGGATGAGGAGCTGATACAAACAGCGTTTTTACACCCCGAATAATCTCCCATGTCAGTATTACACAACTTACAGATCAACTCCACGTGTTTGCAGCTTTCCTGCTGTCACTCGTTTACTCGCTCTGGCTCTTCGTTTTAATGCCGTTCTGGTGACGCTGTGCGCATTTTTATTTTCTATCATTTGCCTGATCCATTAAATATTTTTATACAGCGAGGCACAATTTGCGTAAAAACTAGAATCTTTCAAATTCATCTTACATGAATTTGACAATCTCCTTGTATTTGGTATGTCAACCTTTTGCTGTATTGACAGTGTGAACTCCACAAGTTCTGGTGAGAAGATCAAATCCACCTATAGAGTCTGAACACTTAAGTCAACGAGATAAAAATAAACCCGACATTTTTGTACAAATGTCTTTACATGGTCGACGTCACAAATTAGCGTAAATTTGAGTGAAGTAGAAACAGTGCAGAATCTTGAATGTTTCATTTTAATTGTCATTCATAACTTTTCTTTGGTTAAATGTCTTCAAAAATGTAAATCTTTATTGATTTGAATGAAAATAAGAATTTTTGATTTTTTTCGTGACTGTTTTTTGGACCCCGTCACATTAGCTTATAGATAGATAGATAGACAGATAGATAGACAGATAGATAGATAGATAGATAGATAGACAGACAGACAGACAGATAGATAGATAGATAGATAGATAGATAGATAGATAGATAGATGGCAGGGTTACATTTAAAATCTGAGATTTTTTTTATTACAATGACGTTTTTATTACAAAAATAAATTTAAACAGCCAAACAGAGAGAGAGAGAGAGAGAGAGAGAGCGTTTGTGTGTGTGTGTGTGTGTGTGTGTGTGTGTGTGTGTGTGTGTGTGTGTGTGTGGCGCGCGCCCCCGCGCCCCCATGGCCCCAGCGCTGGCAGTATGCGCGTGTGTTTGCTCCGTGGCGCGTGCTTGTCTGCGCGAGGACGCAGAGAGATGGGCCTCTGATTTACATACAGCTGCCCGCTAGACCCCCCCAACACACACACACACACACACACACACACACTGCGCTACAGACTCGCAGCTCCAGTAAATAAATATAAATAAAAAAACAAGCAAAGTTTAATTTTCTCAAAATGAAAATCACTATGATCTTTGTTCGTCCTGTGAGCTGAAACACATTCAAACACGTTTCACAAACATCTTTCAAATCTTCTTCATGGAATATACAGCATTCACTGCAGTGTCTAAACAGAGTGCATGTCACAATGTAGTTTGTCAAATTATTGCTCCATTTCAGTGAACCACCTAAAGAAAGACCCAAGCTACTGGACACGCTGTCCTTCAATATTTCACTCTCTCTGTCCTCATGTCCCAGCTTGTATGAAGGAGCTCAGAAGTCATTTTTTCTGGAAATGGGCCTCCACTATAGCAGGGTCAGTCGATTACTGTGATAGGACAGCTCATCCGCTCAGTTCACTTGAGTAATTTGATCATTGCTTTGTGGATTAAATTCGGTTTCAGATGTCAGTAGTAAAGACTTATGACCAGCTGAAGTCTCAACCACTGGATTTATGTTATAGAAGACAAAGTGAACACTGGAGACGAAGCAGAGAGAATGTTCCTGGCCCAGTGTCCCAAAAGCTCTTAGTGTTAATATCACCTTAACCGGAAGAGAGAGTGTTCAGTGATGCTCACACCACCATTTAAGAATCATCTTTGTGCTAAGATGCTTTCAGGAGATTCAACATTTATTACCAAGGGGACTCTGAATGTTAGGCTATTATAGGCTATGATCAATCTGGTGCACATGTTAAATTATGGATGTGTAGAAGTACTTAGTCAAATAATGTGGTCTTATGACCCGTGAATTACAGGTTTTTCAGGGTTAAGTCATATAGTGCATTCCACCTTCAGAGCAGCAACAGGGAATAAGAGGAACAGTTATATTTCTGTCTGTGGGGATCAGAAGACTGAGACCTATTGAGGATGCTTAGATCTTTTAAGATCTTCTAACACATCTATTCTGCTTTAGTTCATTTATCTTGTTTTGGATAGCATGAAGAATGATTCCAGCAGAATAATGCATGTTTATGAAAAAGCTTTCATCATGTTTGTGTGTAGTTCACTCCATATGAAGATGTGAGATAATCAAAAGAAAATGGTACTTTGGAGGGATTAAATGTGGCAAATGGTTGCACATGA